GTGAGTGAGTGTGGATACCGTATTCACCTAGCACCCACACCCTTCTTTTCTCAAGCTCTGATCTCGACGGAGTCATTAAACTTCACATCAGCTGATATCGTCTGTGACGCCAATATGTTGATATTTTCACATCAGTATGCAACATATACTCTGAACTGAGAAATTTGTTCCTTTATGAGGGAAAATAAAAAGTGAATCTTCGCTAATATTAGCACTTGATAAGAGCATACATCGTGGCTAATTTGTTCATAGCAATTAGAGTTTTGCAACAGTTAAATTGACTATCAAAACTGCAAAGACGAACACTTTGCTGTTATCAATTAATTTCTTAGTGTTAAATTTAGCAAAAGATGCTTATATAAAAACGATTTATTATTATTAGAATGAAACAGTTATGCTTTACTGATAATGTTTAGATACCAGTGTAATGGTATCAAAGGTTAAAAGTCGTTTAGAATGTTAATTTGTTTGAAACGATGATTGATATAATTCTGCAGTATTAGTTATTATATAAGAAAAATCTTCTCCACCAGTGACTAATACTTTTCCATTAGCTAATAAAGATGCTGCATGCCACACCCGTGTTTTATTCATGATACCTGCAGTGGTCCAAGTTCCTGTCGATGGATCATATAATTCAGTACTATTAAGAAAACCATGCATAGCATTTCCACCAGTCACTAATACTTTTCCATCTACTAATAAAGTTGATGTGTGCTCAGCTCGAGCATTATTCATGCTACCAGTAGTTGTCCAAGTCCCTGTCGATGGATCATATAACTCAGAACTATTAAGAGCACCACTACTAGCATATCCACCAGTAACTAAAACTTTTCCATCTGTTAATAAGCATGCCGAATGCTTATAACGTCCATTATTAAGGTTACTAGTAGTTGTCCAGATCTCAGTTAAAGGATTGTACAACTCAGCAATATCTAAAGCAGTATAGATTTCCTCTTCGCCACCATTAACTAACACATTTCCATTTGCTAATACGGATGCTGTGTGATAAGCTCGTGCTTGATTCATGCTACCAGTACTTGTCCATATTTGTGTTAATGGATTATATAACTCCGCAGTTTTAAAAATATCACCATCGCCATATCCACCAGTAACTAAAACATTTCCATTTGGTAATACAGATGCTGAATGTCCATTTCGAACATAATTCATTTTACCAGTAGTTGTCCAATTTTGTGCTAATGGATCATACAACTCGGTGCTATCTGAAGGATCCTGACCACCGTATTCTCCACCAGTAACTAATAATTTTCCATTTGTTAAAACGGATGCTGTGTGCGAACATCGTGGAATATTCATGTTAGCAACAGTTGTCCAGGTCTCTGTTAATGGATCATACAACTCAGTACCACTTGAATCACCACTATTATCATATCCACCAGTAATTAATACTTTTCCATTTGTTAATAAGGATGATCTGTGCTGAACTCGCGCATTATTCATACTACGAGTATTAGACCATCCTATATGAAAGTATTTTAATGTATTCATTCTGCAAAGAAGTATGGGTATAAATGTAAATGTGATTTATGATGAAGACAATACTTACACCCTCATCTATTGAAGTTTTCAGAAAAATTAACCAAAGTTATCATGAAAAATACCTATTTTACTGAAGATTAGCATTTTCTCTTGAATAGACATTCTCAATAAGAACACATTATCTCAGCTATTGTGAAGGTGTGGGTGTAGGCATGAGAATATCACATTTATCACTCACACACTCGCATCCTCAAAGGGCATTACTCTAAAGCTTACCTGACTGTCGTATGCCGGTCGTAGTTATTTTTTCCGTCGCTGCTGATGTTGCTGTTATTGTTGTTTGTGGCAATGTCGATGTTGCTAGTGGTGGTATTGTTGTCGATGGTGATGATGGTGTTGCGGTGGTAGTTTCTGACTTCGTCGGAGCAAAATCGACGACATTCAAGACCATAGAAAGAGCTACTGCAAAAAGTGTTAGAACGAAGAAAGAGATGCAGATAATTCTGATCGAACGATGATGCCACCATTTTCGAGTTACATTGTTTACCGTTTCAAACTCATGGCGAAACCGGTTTGTATGCATATTGTATTCTATAAGAAACTTAAACTTAAAAAAAAAAGAACTATTGTGCGAAATTATTTTGTGTTGTTTATCACTCGCAGAGAAGTTATAAAAGATAAGTAATATAATCTCTAGCGAAAAAGGTGTTTTCATACTCGTCTATTTATAAAAATAAATTTCGTATGATAACACAAAACTACGCTCTACTTCTAAATTTTCTCATGTTAAATGTTTCTTTTTACTATTCAGTTTATTTTGAGGGTGTGGATGTCAGTAGATTTTATCTTCTCCTAGAATCATACCCGCACCCTCTTGCTGTTTTCATCAACTTCATCATTTTCATACAAGTCTATTTGTTTAGTTTTAATTATGAAAATTTTATAACGAAATGACATGTTTTACAAGTTCAAGAGCAATATATACATATTTATATACATAAATTCGATAGAGAATGAGAATATTCTCAAAAAATAAGAGATCAGGAGAGACACTGTGTCTTAGTAGCAAGAACTGAGGATTTCTAAAAAGAAAAGTATGAGATGACAAATGCAGTTGCTTATGACTGTGATTGACTTGCATGTTTAATAGTTTAATGTGAACAATGGTTTTTTTTTCTTTACTGGAAAATAAGTGGGATCCACCGGTACTCAAAGGACTAATACGAATAAACACTTCATTTTATTGATATTGATTTATATCTAATATGCATTGTAACCTTTTTTTCATAAGAACATAATAAAAATAAGATATTTGTGAAACGACCATTTTATTATAAACGATATTTGACACTGAAACAACGAATAAAATATTGACTATAGTGAATATTTCTATTTTAAAGCTAATTCGTTTGTTGTCTTTCAAAAACGTGTGAAGTCAGTCCTTTTCTGTAAGTACTAGTACGTAAAAACAAACTCAACTCAAAGATTAAATATCAATTTTTTCAGTTTTCAAATCAACGTATATGATATGTTCGCAAAAGCAGATACATTAATAACATAAGCCTTTGTTTTTTGAAAAATTTCAAGGTATTAAATTTTAAAGAATAAAAACAGCCGTGTACAACATATACATTCACACTAGCTATGACGAAACGATTGGGTACCTATCTTGTTTTTGTTTTTATTTTTGTCCTGAAGAAAACTCAGGCAACTCCTCTTGATGAGTATGTGAATACTCCTGATCCAGTATTTAGTTGGAAACGTATTCAAACTTATCCACAATCACTGTATACGTTTTATGTATTAAATATGACGTCTCAACAATGGTTCGACGGTAAAACTATATTTTGTAAAATATAATATCATTTTTTGTGATTTTCATAGATTCGTTTTCTACACAACCAATATGGTGGCATTATGTAACCATTACAGTTCCAAAAGCAATTCGTCGTTCAAAAACAGCTTTCCTAATGATTGATGGAGGATCAAATAATGATTCGTAAGTTACCATCGCACTGTGCAGACAATGCTGAAAAGATAATTTACATAGCATAAGAGTAATTTATTTCATCAGAAAGCATGAATTGATGTTTTATAAACTATGCAGATTGAAAATTAATATATTAAATTAATTTTTTACATTTTTCTACTATTTAGACCACCTACTGGTGATATTACAACGGAACTTGCTGTTATTTCAGGTAGTATCACAGCTAGTGTTCGACAGATTCCTAATCAAAATATTCGATTTTTGGTATGTCACAGTATTTTTTGTTCTCGTTAATACATCAAATATAAATTTATTATATTATCATTTTCATAGAGTGATCCAACAAATTCTTTTCGAAATGAAGATTCGCTAATTGCTTGGACATGGAAGAAGTTCATGGATACAAATGGAAGTGACCCTAGAGTTCTATTACGTTTTCCGATGACCAAGGTAAATATCATCTACGTTCGATAGATAAGTATAATAATTATTGTTTATGTTTATATATATTAGGCAGTTGTACGAGCAATGGATACTGTTCAACAATTCTTAGAACAAGAGCGTCTTCTTGTACCACAAGAATTTGTTATTGGTGGTGCTTCAAAAGTAAATATTGTATTTTATATTATGACCTGTTTTAAACTTTAATTCTATTATATTATAGCGTGGATGGACAGGTTCATATGCAATAATATAATTACCTAATATTTTCCTTCAAATTCTAGCATGGACAGCTGCCGCAGTTGATAATAAACGAGTTGTTGCTGCAATACCTATTGTAATGGATTTATTAAATCTTCGACCAGTAAATAGAAGATTCAGAATATAAATAAATAAATAGATCTTTGCTTTGTTTATAGAACATGATGTCACATTATCGAGTATGATTTCTATAATAAAAAGAATTTATCAATGGTTATTTTATAGTCCCTTGGTGGATGGACATTTGCTTTCAATGACTATTATGCTATGAATATTACTCGTTATATGAATAATCCTAATTTTGATAAATTAGCACAAATGATTGACCCATATTGTATAATTCTTTTAGGATCTATCGGATTTAGTTTTGAATTCTCTTTATCTAGCTTATTTTGATCGATACACCAAAACAAAAATCTTTCAATTACAAGGTGCTGGTGATGAGTTTTTTCTACCTGATTGTGAAGTAAGATTACAATTGTTATATGATTCTTTTTAATGAAAACTAAAATGATAACTGTTATTAGGATTTCTTCTGGAATGATTTACAAAAAGCTACTGGTGGATCTTATTTAAGGTAACGAAACTAATATATATATATATATATATAATATGCTCTTATGAATAGACGAGTGCCTAATACCGGTCACAATATCGCAGGTTATGAAGATAGTTTGATAAGTTTCTATTTAACTATCGCTGATGTATGTTTTTATAAGTAATCATTTGTTATTGATTATTTATTGACATTCGTTCAGAAAGAAATTTTACCATCAATGAAATGGACGCGAACTGTAAATGGAACACATGGCATTATTCGTGCTGTCATTGATTTTGGTGCTGGACAACCAAAACCTACCGCTGTTACTGCTTATCAAGCTCGTACAGGCGATACATTGAAGTAAGATTAAAAAGATATAATCTATAGACATGCGATATTCTTTCTATGTCATAGACGTGATTTTCGACAAGCAAAACTTAGCCAATCAGGAAATGTTGTAGGTACTGGTGTGGTATGGGCGAACGCGGCTGTCCAAATAGAGGTAATCATCTATCAATGTTATATTTCTTTATGTAGATACTATTTTTTCTTGTCTAAATCTTTTAGACTCAGACTGGTACAACTGCTACTGTCGCGGTTGCTGTACCTATTCCAACGAATGGTTATTGGATTGCTACATTTATTCAAGCTACATTTCCTGGACGTGATGCTACAACACTTAGTTTAACAACAGAATCACTCATTCTACCAAATACTTATCCAGTTTCAGAATGTAATGATCATGAGTGTTATGGAAAGCTAGTTTAACGTTTTTTAGAAACTATAGAAACGAATAAATAATTTTTCAAAAATAACGAACATTGGATATATGTTATCTCTAATTAAATTAAAACCAACTATTTTCTTATAAATAAGATCATTATATTACTATCTAGCTTTTCAACAATCATTACATATACGTCAGTAAAACGCGTTAAATATATTTTATTATGATCTTATTTCATCACAAGAAAAAAAAATGATTAGTATTATGATGGTGGAGGACCGGGCGGTGGTCCAGGTGGTCGTGGACCACCACCACCTCCTCCAGCTGGTTGGGGTGTAGCAGTTGGATCAATACCAACTGTAATTTCACCTGCCATTCCACCAGTAAACTCGTTCGTAAGAAATCTGATTGGTACAATCATTGTTGCTCCATTTGACTCTCTATAAATAAAATCCTCATCATTGAGTGTACGTTGAATGGTTTGTGTTGTATAGGGATAAACTGTCGCTACTGCATCAGTCAGACTATCATCAAAAAAGAATTGACCAGTATGTGACACGTGTCCACCTTTAGTATAAATTGCTCCACCATCCATAATCGATAAACTAGCATCAATATGTACTTTAACGTGCATATGTGTTGCACGACCACGATACCAACCAGGATAAATAGTATTAAAGATAGAAATACCTCTCGAATTGGTTATTTGTTGACCTAAATTTTCATCAAAGAATTTACTTATAAGAATAAAAACAATATCTTCATTATACCTCGAAAAAATGTTGAATTGTCATTGGGTCCATTCATTTGTCCTTGACTAGCAGCAATATAATGTGAATAAAGACCTATACCATCACAATGCCACAAATCAACAACAGCATTGGGTATTGTTAAACATGATCTTATATCTACTACCGTGATTGATAAACGCAATGGAATACCAGGTCTATTCTCTCTATTAAATTATTAATCAAACAATTTTATATTAAAAAAAAAAGAATATTTTACGTAATATCATTTCGCACAGTTGAATTCCAGTAGTAAGGTCCTTCTACTGCTTCTGACGCAAGAAGACAAGAATTAGCTGCTCGTGCACATCGTTTGACTGCTGTTTATAAAACAAATATAATCTATATGAAACATTCCTAACACTTACCTGATTCACGTAGACAGACAATATTTTGAAAAGTAATGATCAAAAGTAGAAATTTGAATAACATTTCTACCTAGCAAAAATGGAAACTATATGAACGCAGTTTTAGAATTTTGAATTCTTTATATACAACTTCAGTAAAAGTACATGTGACATGTGTTTTATAATCTTTTCACGAAATTAATTGATGTCCTTTTTCTTATATTAATCATGATATTTATCCGCTATCATATTTCATATGACAAATGAAAAAGATTAGGAGCATAAATTTGAAAGTGTATATTAATATATTTCTTTTTCAGATACATAAAACGCTTTTATCAATATTTATTGTTTGTTATCAAACATTGAGCAAATTCGTAGAAATACAAAATCTGATCAATGTTGTTAGTGAATAAAGAAAAAACAAAGTTAATATTTTTAATAGAATAGAGAAACATAGAAGAAGAAGAAAAACTGTCTGTTTATTTATAATCTGTACGTTTTTTTCTTGATGAACTTCTATTAGATCGTGACGATGACGATGATGATGATGAATCACGACGATGATGACTACGACGAAAACGTTGTCGTAAAAATTCTGGTGTAGGTGAACGAGATTTAACCGGTGATGGTCTTTTTCTAGTACGATTCTTTGATGAATGATGAGATGGAGATGATGAAGAAGAAGATGATGATGATGTTGATGATGTTGACGATGAAGATCGAGAAGAGGATCGACGATACCGACGACGAGATGTTGGAGATCGACTAAATTCAAATAAATATTAGTAGAGAAACGATAACAAAAAACAAACGAATGATTTACCTTCTCGATCGTGATCTTGATCGACTACTTGAACGATGTCGTGAATGACGATGACGAAGTTTAGCTGATGATTGACGTAATTCAGATTCTCGAGCTTCACGTTCTTTTTCTTCACGTTCTTCGCGTTCACGTTGTTGATCTTTATCTTTTTGAACTAAACAAATAAAAGAAAATTCACATAAGAATCAACATTAAAAAATAAATAAAATAATTTACATTGTTTTTTTAATAAAGTTTGCATTCGACGTCGAAGTTTTTCTTGTGGAGTTTTAACCGCCGAAATCTATACAAAAAAGAAATGAAATGTTGACTAGTAACAAAAAATCTTATGATCATTCTCACTTTTGGTGTCGTTGATTGATTGGGACCACTTTGTTCTTTATGACTTGTTTGTGGTGTAGTTGAGTTCTGATTGCGTCTTTAATAAAACGAAACAAGCAATTTTCTTTTTAATACATTCATTTTTACACTTACTGTCGAGCTTCTTTACGTTTAAGATACTGCTGAAGATCATCATCTTCTTCCTCTTCTTCATCATCATTATTACTACTTTCTTCTTTATCTTCTTTCTTGTCTAGTCTTACAATTTTTATTGCTGGAATTTCATTATCAGATAAAACTCGTCTTTCACTAAATATCGAAATTAAAAATAAAGAAAAAAATTAAAAGTAAAAAACTTACGGTGATCCATCATCTTTTAGTTTTTGTAATGTAGATAAAAGAACTTGACTTTTTCGTTGAAATGATCGACAAGGAACAAGTGATGTTCTAAATAATTGAACTTTTAAATTAAAAATAAAATTTATACTAGAATAAAATTACGTTGTTGGTGAAGGTAATGGTGGTGGTGTAACTAAACGACGAGTTCGAACTGGAATAACAGTTGGATCCGCTTTCTTTTTTGCTTCACGACATTCATCAAGTAATGATTTTTCAAAAGGTCGTTTTCGTTTTAAATCATTCAGTTTTGACGCATCATCATCACCAAATGCTGTAATAAATTCAATTTTTTCTTTAACTGGTGTTGTGTCAACAGGCGATGGTGATCGAGATTTCGATTTTGCTTGTACAACAGGTAACTTAGGCATTTCTCGATTTAAATAACTACGAAAAAAAGATAATCTCAGATTTCAGAAAAAATCAATAGATGAAAATTACTTTGGTGGACAAAAATCTCGTTCTTTAATTCGTCTTTCTTTTGCTAAACGACGTTCACGACGTGCTCGACGACCCTATTCATAAATTGACATAAATTTTTTGAAATAAAAATTAAAAACTTCGTTTACTTTCACAGGTATATCCTGTTCTCTTTCTAATTTATTGTCTCTAATTGTTTGCATTTCTTCTCTATCAAGTATTAACATTCGTGCAAAATCTCCGAATGCCATTCCATAATGTGTAGCAACTTTATTTAATGATGCTTTATTTTCACTCGTTAATTGATTTATATCAATTTCAATATCTAAATCATCATCGTCATCATCTTCGTCATCGCTATCATCGGCTGCCGCCGCTGCTGCTGCTGCTGTTGAAAGTTTTTTCGATGATGTTGAAATTGGTGCATCATCATATACAAAACCAATTTCAGCTTTTTTTGTAGTTGATCTGAAATAGAAATAGAGAAAAAAAACGATGAATGAATTTGATCATTTGAAAAAAACGACTACTTTTCAGACGCTCGCTTTTCTTGTTCTTTTTTTTTAATCTCTATTGGATACAGCCTACTTTTTCTTTTTGGCCTCTCTTGCTGCTGGATGATGATCATCTCGAAGTGCGCCAAATTTTTCGTCAAACTCAATATCACGCAAACATTGTTCTTCACTAACTAAAATTTAAAATAAATATTATTAATTTAAGATTCTATTCATCAAATCTATTTCTTACCACCAGTCGATTCATTATGAATTAAAACTCGATAACGTTCATAATTACATAGACGTTCATCATTTTGTTCTGCTTCCGACATGGTAGTTCTAATATATACAATAAAAATATGTTATTCATTTGATCGATCAATGTAGGATTGTATATTAAACAAAATTGAAAAAGTACCGACTCGGAGACTTGTTGATTCTGTTGATGTTTTAAAGCATATTCATCAATGATATCCAAATGTGAACGAACATCAAATCGATCAATCATCGTTGTTTCATCATCACGCCATGCAGTTCTACAATTAAAGAAAATAAAATTTCAAAGATATAAGAAAAAAACATCATTTTCTCAAGTGGGATACAAAGTGCGAGCATTCTTACAGTGTTGATTCAGCAGCAGTTGCTATTGCTGGATCCAAATGAATTTTAGCTGGTCGACCCCAAATTTGTAAGAATTCTGCAGGATCACGTTTCTACAGACGAAAAAAAATACAGATCAATATGAAAATAAAATCTTTAGAGAATTAACAAACAATTCTTTCGTAATATTCTTTTCGTCGTTCTGATCGTTTCTTATAATCCACAATCATTCCACGTAGTTTCTTTTCATGTTTTCTCATTTCTTGCCACATTTTTTCTTTTGAAATCTACAATTAAAGAAAAATACTGTGGAAAAAAAGAGAGAGAATAGAGATTCATTCACTGTATTCATTTCGAAAAATTATTTAAAGTAAAAGAAATTATAAGAATAGATAAAAAAAAGAAAAGAAAAGTAAAAGAAGAATTAATTCTCTTGTTGTTGACGTTTCATTAATGATTTCATTCGATTGAGTTGATCAAGAAATTTTAATATACGTTGTTGATCATCATCGATTTCTTTTACATTACAATCTTTGATTTTATTCATTGAATCATGCACTTGAATATAATCACGTGCAAGAAAATATAAAATTGTAAAACAATGATAAATTTTATTTAATTCTTGTATCATAGGATTTCCATGATGATTTTCAAGACGATAAGCTAATAATGTTTGAAGTGTATTATGTGCTTCAGCTTCTGTTGCTAAATCTTAAAATAAAAAATATTTTTTTAAATAGAAATTTAATAATTCTTTTATCTAATTACCAAGTTTTGATGATTTTGTTGTTTCATCTTCTTCATCTTCATCATCATTCTTTCCTAAAATCGCATCCATATCGGAAAAAACAACTCGTGATTGAAGTAAACGACGTAAATGATAATACCACATTTGTGTTACTTGTGTATATAATGATTCTGTTACTTCGAGACGGTTCATTAATTTAAATACTTTACCCAATAGAAAATAACCTCCAGCTACTTTATAATGTTCTGTACCATAATACAATGATGCGTCATATATCTAAAGAAAAATTAATTGAATAAAAAAATAATTTCAATTAAAAATGAACACATACATCATTTGCTAAATGTCTAGCTGCTTCATCATAATCTTTTCTAGCAATACTTAATTGAGCCATATTTCGTGCTACTTGTGATGTTATTGCAGGTGGTGCTTGATTTTGTTGTTGTAAAACTGTATATTGTGCTTGAGATAAATATTCCCAACATTGATTTAATTGTTTTAAACCTAAACTAGCTTCAGATAAGATTAAATAAGATGGAATAAGTTCAACACTTCGTGGACCATAAACATCCATCGCTAATTTAAGTGAAGCAAGTGCTGCTGGTATTGCAGCATCATAACGATTTTGAAAGACCTAGAAGAAGAAAGTTATGAAAAAGAAATAAAATATTTGATTATTTTTACATGTCTTTCTCCAATCATTCGAGTAACTTCAATTAAATGAAGTTTTTTCTCACGTATTTCATGATCACGATCACGACGTTCTTCTTCAGATGGTAGGAATGGTTGTTTTGATCGAAGTGTTGCTAATGTTGGACAAATTTTATCATGGATACCAACATTATCAGCTATTTGATGTTCTTCAGAACAATAAAATGTAACACGACATTTTGCACACATTCGTGATGCTGTTTTGCCACATATTTCACATTTATGTGCAATAGATTTTGGAAAAGCAAGTGGATAAACGAGTTCTGCTGTCGCCATTCTTTCTTTATTTTTGTCAGTAACAAACAATGATCATGAAAAGAAATGAAAAGACTTAGGTAAACAACCAATCAAAATTACATTTAAATTATACTGACATCTTAAGACACCTAGATACCATGAAAATGTATCTATTCTGATTTTTTTTTATGAAATAATTATTTCTTGTCTAATATAAAAGATAAATGAATAGATAATCTCTTATAAAGTAATTAATTATTAGTTTTTCGTCATTTTATCTTTACATCAATACTTTAATACAAATCTCAGGTTTATCAAAACAAATAATTACATGAAAAATAGAATATAATTAAAAAAAATATCCGTGTGGTATCAAATAGAAAATTCAATAAATATCTCTTTTGCTTTATTTCCATTTAGAATTGGCAGGGTCAAATCTTAGAAATTGGAATTTTCTTGCCCAAACTTGAAAAATTTGGGAAAATATATCGAGCCAATTCGGAAAAAAAATTTGGAAAGTGACTTTCAAAACCTGAGTTGAATGTTTTTGGTTAAAAAAGCTTTCTAAACTTAGTTATCTTACTTATAGATATACTTAATGAAAAATCAATTGAGCATTAATTAGAGACATTTGTAATAAAGCTAAATCAAATGCAAGAATAGTACAAGATGTATTTATTTCTTTGAATAGGCTAAAGAATAAATGAAATACTATCATTTTGTACTTCTATTTGAACAAAACAATTCATTTTTTAATATCCTGCAATATCATATTTCCTTAATCCTAAAATTGTTTTACAAGGACAACAAGTTTTAATTTTTATTCTCATGCATAATTTTATTGTACTCCAAAAAATATGACAATATATTTCTTGAATTCCTCAAAGGTATAACAGTCCATTTTTCTTATCGTAGCCAATGTTGTGATTAGACTCTATCGAACATCAAGCACGTTACTTTAATTCGTATTGTTATTCAGTCAAAATAAATAAAAAACATCATCAATATGGGCGTCACCTATGTGAAATGCATCGATACTCAGTATCTATACCAATAGTTATATCTATTTTTAATACAGAAAAAGAACAAAAAAAAATAATATGTAGTCACTACATATAAGGATTACTGAATAGTCAGCCCGAAATCATTCTCGATAGGTAACATATGTACATGTTGTAATCGTTTTGTGGGGTAACATAATTAATGTACTACTAAACATCACACTATCGAAAAGAAAGGTGAACGAAAAAAAAAACATGTATATGTTGTTATATACAAATTGTACAATAAGAAAAAAGAAACGTAATATTCTATACGAGAGGGTTAACAAACAGTATCTATTTATTACAAAGGACAAAAAAACATCTATCATTTCAAATAATACAGTAATATAATATACAAAACGTTTATTTTTTTGAAAGTAAGTATATACAATTTTTTATTTTTTAATAAATAATGTATTAATTAGATACAAATTCTTTGATCAAGAGAATATTTTGATTTACTATATTACTATAGAATACAGGTGAAAGCATTTGTACTATAATCTTCGAAATAAAAGTAGAAAGACAATTACTCATCATATGTACTGATAGTTCAATATATTGTTTATAGTTAAAAATTTTGTATTCATGATGATTGATTTAAAATAATTAATGTTTTTTATTTAATTGGCTTTAGGTATATCTTTGTACTATATTAACTTATTACTATGGAAGAAGGAATATTAAACGAAGACAATAATAAATATAATATTGTAGTTAAAGATAGATTTGGTGATTTAGAAGTCGACGCTCCTAATCCTGTAAATCCAAATCCACATGATAACGGTGATTGTCCTGAACCAAAACTAACAGCAACACAAATAGAAGATATGCCACCTCCTATTCCAGTTTCTATTCAATCACCTCATATTACTCGTCCGCCAAAACAACCAGGACCAGCATTAGGACCATATTATCAATTTCTAACTACTGATTTAAAGAAAATGTTATGGTTTGGAAGTGCATTAATATTACGTGACATATCATATGATCAACCAGAAATTGAATTTTTTTGTGAACCAAAACTAGATTTTAATTGGGAAATTCTATATGATAATTTATTTAATATGCGAATTTATCGAATTAATATATCAATTGAATTACGTGATGGTAAAGGTGATGATATAATTCGTTGGAAAATGAATTGGGGTGATCATATAACTGATGGTTTATTTCATATTGCTCGTTATAATCAAAATTGGCGTGGAGGTTTTTTCTCATGTAATGGATTTGATAGTACTGTACCAGATGACATAAGAACAGATCTTACATTTGGTACTGTTTGGGAACATTTAAATTCTGTTCATGAAGAAACTCCACTTCATATATTAATATGGGGTGGTGATCAAACTTACGTTGATTTTATATTTGAAGATGTTCCTTATTTAAAAGAGTGGGTGGACATGGAATGGAATCAAAAATGGACATGTGATTTTCGTGATGATTTAAAAGAACAAATAGAACAATATCATTTCAATAGTTATATTCAAAATTGGGAACGTCCTGAAGTTAAAAATGCCTTAGCATCTATACCAAGTATAATGATGTGGGATGATCATGATATATTTGATGGTGCAGGATCTTATCCACCATTACTTCATGATAGTCCTATGATGACAGGTTTATTTAAATGTGCACAAAAAATGCGATTATTATTTCAACATCATACAACAGAAGAAAAAGCACGTGTTCATGGTTTATTTGGATATCAAGGTTATAATAGTCTTACGCAGTGTGGTCCCGATTTAGTAATAATAGGTACAGATGGACGTACTGAACGTGATACAAACATAGTTCATCATCCAGAAAGTTGGAATATGATTTTTGATAAATTAGAAAATGATATTATAAATATAAAACATTTAATTGTTGTATTTCCTGTTCCATTTTCATTTGTTCGATTTAAATTAGCTGAAAATATTTTTGACCATATAAAAAAATTTCCAAATAGATTTCGAAATGTTCCACCTATTAAACAAACAAATTCAATATTTGGTTTACCAGAACTTTATGATGATCTTCTTGATGAATGGACAAATGCGTCACATATTGATGAACGTAATCGTGAATTAATACGTTTTCAAAAGTTTGCTGAAAGAAAACGTATAAGAATTACATTCTTTAGTGGTGATGTACATTGTTGTGGTATAAGTCGTTTTAAAAAAAGACAACAAGATGATTTATTACCAATAAATGATAGTAAATTAATGTATCAAGTTATATCATCTGCTATTGTAAATAAACCACCATCACGACAAATTCTTTTTGTTGCTCATTATGTTAGAACAAAATGGTATCCAGTCGAAGAAACAGTTGAAGAATTAATTGATTTTTTTCAACGTTTACCAGAAACTGGAAGAAAAGTTCGACATAAAAAATTAATGTCAAATCGTAATTGGTGTTTTTTTGAAATTTGCGAAGAGGATCATTCAACAGTTTATAAGAATATAACAACTGGATGTTTACAACGTGTTTTTAAATCTAAACAAAAACATATTCCTGCTGTTAAATTAGGCCCAACATCGTCACGTGAAGGTCATGGTAGTGCAAAATCACCAATACATATACATTCTCATAATCGTTCTTGTTCACATAGGAAAGAAGTTGGTCAAGATGATATAGGAACACATACATTAAAAATTCGTTTATGGTTAGAAAGTGGTGGAAAACATACAGAAGGAAGGAAATTTGTTAGTTATGAATTATTAATTCCAAATTTAATATAAATCTTTGTAAGAAATTTATTATGAAAAAAAAAAACTTTTTTATTTGTGATTTTTTTATTATTCAAGTTGTTTTTAATTTGAATTGAAAGAATTGTTTTTTATATAATATCGTATACTTGCGAAATAAATTATTATGTGATATTTATTTTTTTAATAAAGACATTCCTTTTAACACAATTATCATTCTTATAATATTATACTGAACGAACTTAAACTTACAATGGCTATTCAGGATAGATATGATTTTGTGTTGTGCTTATGTTCTATCGATGTTAATAATATAAAATAACATGACTTATAGTAAATGTTTATTTTTATTTTCAAAATTAATTAATTCCTTTACAATAACTTTCAGGTACATAGTTTTTATCCATGGATATATTGTTTGTCTCCTTATTGTCATATGTAGCAGTACAGTTATTATTTTCCTGATCGTGAATATATGATGGAAGACCACCAATACGAACTAATTCGAAGAATTCAATAGTATAAGCATAACAATCAATACATCTTGGATAACGACTAACACAACTTTGTTGAAAACATCTATAAAATGCACAATCACATTGTGATCTAGTTCGATTACATGTACGATAACATAAATCATGCTGTACACAACATGGAATAAATGATTGTCGATCTAATCCACGAAGCACTGTATCAATATTAATACCCATTGGTCCACATCCAAATCCATTATTATTAGTAGTAGTAGTAGTCGAATCGTCGCATTGTATTACATTAATGAATGGTATAATTAATAATACGATAAAATAAATATTCAACATTTTTGTTTTAAAACACGTTTATAATAAGATTATTACAATGATCAATATTAGAAAACCTTACAAAACAATCGCATTATATATCGGACGAAAGGTAGTTGTAAGTCAGGCTTTCATACGTTGTACGTCATTACATGAGTCAATAATTTGCGAGCGAGGCAATAGTGTAGTTTTATGTATGATTAACTCATTTATTACGTTCGAGATTTTCTGTTTTTTTTTGGTAAACAACAAGTAATAGTCATGAAAAATGTTGAGTATAATGTAATACGTGGGACGATGTCGTAGAGTATTATCTTTCTCGTAACTTCTAGTCGAATTTGAGTACAAAAGATTTTCTATGTAAACAAAATGAGGAGACATGAATTAAAAAATATACAACATTAGAATAGTGTACACAACTCATCAATTCAGTTATTAAACGTCCATATAATTCAAAACATATTTTATAAGAAAAATCATAAAACCAAAACTAAGAAACCTATTCCTATGTACTCAAATAATTCAGAGTTAAGTAAATCAGTAAAATCATTTGAAATTAATAGACTCATGGAACCAACTGTTTCCTCCTTGCTCTTCACATTGATAGATTTCTTCTTTTGAATAGACTATGAATAGGAATTTATTTTGTTCTAGATATTTTATTATTGAGTATCAGCTGTAATAGATGAGTTGAAAATAACATTAATATCAAATTGATCTATATATGATACACAGTGTAATAGATGAAACTGTCAAAACAGGATTTTGATTACTGATTGCATACAAATAGAGGTAAATCTATTCAATATTCTCTGGCGCCATCTCTAAATAAAATTTAACATCCATTCAACTGATTGACCAATGACTAACTTTTCTTATGTATTGTTATCTCTAGTTAATTTTACTACTACTACTACCATCAAACATACAATAAAGTATAATCACCTCACTAGCTTTTAACAAAGATTGCTGTACCACTTCAAAAGAAAGATTGATAAAAACAAAAATAAAAGCTTGCAAATACCGTATGCGAAGATAATTATTTTTATTTCAGTATGCATAACTTTTATCTTTGTTTTTTGACATTTATTCTATTGAAAGGACCCAATCATTATTTATTAGAAGCTAGAAACATATTTACAGCATGCTATGGATTCTGATAATATTAGCAGTAGTTTGATGCAGTTTATTTATTGTCTCATTTAAACCCAATCACTAAATCTATGCTTTATATTTATAGAATACTAGTTCATCTGTATTTTCATTCAAATTTTTGGATGACTGAAATCTGGAAAACATCGATTATCATTAATTTTATATTTAGTTTGTTAATTAGTATTGTATATTTACAATGAGTATGATTCGATTCTAGTATCGATACTGTTATAATAGGTATGTTTTTTTCAAAAAGCATGTAATGAAATTAGTTTTGATATATATGACGTAAGATACACTCTTCTACGATAACAATCTTCTTAAACTTTATTATTAGATAGAGAACTAACATTTTAAACATATATGTATACAAGAAGTTTAATTTAAAAACTTGTAACATAGAATAATCGAAATAGTTACGTGAATGTTTTTTTAAAAAGTTCACGTTTTATCTGAAATAATAATCGATACATATGCCTGTTTTACTTTCAATATATGTTATGTAATCATAAAAGATTGAATAGAGGCATCTGTCGATTCTCATAATACTGTTCAGATATTGTTCTTATTCTCTTTAAAATATATGAGGAATATGACTGAAAGCTAATTAACATTTGTACATAAAGGAATTCGAAAAAGCATGACAGAAAAAACAATCGTCAGTGTTGCAGACCTTCAGAAAAAAAAGTATTTGATCAAGACGTTTAAAACAATTTCAGTATCACATAACTCATAAGTCAATAGTAACCGATATGTTGTCCTACATCAAATATGAGTTAACACGTGCTGTTTTATTTTGTCAATGCCTCTTTTCTTTTACAGATTAAAATTCTCGCAATAAACTTGTTCTAATTTATAATCTTTCATTTTGTTTTAGTCATGCTGATCTGTGATAATTATCATATCAGATATACACTCAATTAATGAAGATTCAATGAATTTTATATGTTTGTATGAATAGATGATTTTCTTTCACATGGACGCATAAGCAAAAGAAAATTGGTAGCATGCTTTTATAAATAATTAACTATTGCCATGCATGAAAATTTTTTGACAATTGCTTAAAAAAATTATAGAAATAAATTTCATAGCTTATTTTAGTGCAACCTTTTTTTTAAAAATTAACACAAACAATTGATCTATTTTTCCAATAGATAATAGAGAATTTTGATTTTTAGACTGAATCATTGTATTCTTATTTATTGATCTGTATTGAATAAGTTAATGAATACTATTCAAAATCGTCTTTTAATTTCATTTATTACTGCATGGATAGCTTATGCATTAACTTATTTCTTACGTAAACCATTAGGAATTGTAAGTAATAGAGTATTTCTTCAACATATTTCATAGTATTAATTTAATATTGTTTGCAGATTAAAACTGATCTTGAAAATGATTTAAAATTTTCAAAATATCAGTTGGGCCTATTTGATACAGCATTATTATTACCCTATGCTCTTGTTCAAGTAAAACAATATATAAAAATTAATATCTATAACAAAAAAGGAACTTTTAATATTATAGACTTTCTTTGGTTCATTGGGTGATCGATATGGTGCTCGACGTACATTTGGTTATGGTCTTATTGGTTCAGGAATATCCATGGTATATTATAGAGTCTTGTGAGAGTATTCTCATTATATTAATTAATTATCATTTAGATTACATTCGGATGGTGGAGTGATTATCGAATTCTTTTTGTATTGCTTTTTCTAAATGGTGCATGTCAAGTAAGAAGAAAAAATACTTATTTCAAAAAACAAATTTCTCTTCTAAAATCATTTAGTCATTATGTTGGGCAGCAGCAAATAAAGGTCTTGGTGCTTGGGTAACTGATATTCAACGTAATTTTGTTTTTGGTCTATTTGGTACATGTCCATTTGCTGGTGGTATTCTTGGTACTGCTCTTGCTGTAAGAAAATCTTTTATAATTATTTGTTATCTTAATCGTTTGTTTATTAGGTATACATTCAAGGAAAAGATGGTTGGCGTCTTGTTCATTTTCAGCCATCAATATTTTGTGTATGTTAATACAAATTTATTCTTTGTTCTAATATATAAAATGAATTTCTTTATCTAGATTATTGCTGGTGTTCTGGTTCTTTTTCTTTTTCGAGAACCATCTGAATTAAGAATGTCCGTAACTGGAAAAGGTAAATACAAATATTTATATAAAAGAAAATATATATATATATTCTGTTTTGTACATAGAATCACCTGTAAAAGCCACAGATAATCGTCCAAGAATGACAATTATGGAAGTATACCGTTTACCGTAAGTTTGATTGATTAAATTATTGATAAAAAATCTTTTATTTTTCATAGAATGGTTAAAGAAATAGCTGCTAGTGTATTTTGTTTAAAAGTTGTTCGATATGCAATTTATTTATGGCTTCCTTTATATTTAAAACAAGAAGTAAATTACATTTAGTTTAGTTTAAAAAGAATTTTCTTAATTGTTTTTTTCTAGCTTAATTATTCGAAATCTGATGCTGGTCTTTTTTCAACTATGTTTGATATTGGTGGAGTTGCTGGAAGTGCTACTATTGGATTTATTCTTAATCGGTAATTTGATTTTTAAAATTTGATTTTTTCGTATGATTTGTTTTATGTTTAAAGATTTTTTAATAATGAAGGATGTCTTGGTGCAGGTGTTGAAACATTATTTAGTGCTGGCACGCTTCTTCTCTTCTTAGTATTTGCACAATCAGGCATAACTATCAATTCAATTTTAATGATTGTAACTGGATTACTCAATTGTGGAGCTGATATTATTCTATGTAAGTTTAACAATTTAACGTAATTCATTTTATCCTAATATGCAAAAAATAGACAGTACAATGGATTCGATCAAAAATAGTAGAAATTCTCTATCTAATAGCAAAATAATTATGAAGTCTGATATGACTTTAACCTTCAATTTTTCTGCGTTTAGCAGCTATTCATAAAAATTACATATAATTCTTGTCAATATTTAGAAGACTAATAATTAGAAAACGAACTAGTCAAAAAAGGACAAATAAATACTGAGTAAAAGATGAAAAATGACGATATGGTTCCAAACAAGATCCGCAAAGAGTATTTAAATATTAATTAGATCGTTCTTATTTTGTATCTGATATTCCTCCTTAGTAACAATAATAAATTCATCGAAAGACATATTCTTTCATGAATCATTCTTCATATATATATGTGACTTATATTTAGAGTATCTTTAGTATTACAAAACAATAATTATAATTTAACTAATTGGTAGAGCTCTGTATGATCATAGTATTCTATCATATAGCAATGTAAGATATAATCATAATAGAATACTGTACGCTTGAGTTAAATAACACGATACCATCTGAAACTTTATTCGTAGAGCAAAGAACGAATTCTATAGAAAAGATTTAGACAACGATATGAAATAATCTTATTTTCTCTCTTTTTTAAATTTGTAGGTAGTTCAGTACCAATTGAAATAGGTGAAATGAATGGTCGAAATGCTGGTAGTGCAGTTATTGGTTTTGTCAACGGTATGTATATTATTAAAATTCATTCTCCACACTTCTCAAAAATTTCATCTCTTTTATACAAATTACATCATTCTCTTTCTCTCATACACACATACCGCTGGAAAACGAGAAAACATACATAAAACATATAGAAAAAAAAGAAGAAGAAGAAGAAGAAGAAACGATTCTGGAATGACACAATAAAACGGAACACATGACAACATAGGAATGAAATAGGGACTTGACATGAGAATTTTTCAATAAAAATTAAGAAGACCAAAAAAAAGAAAAGAATTAGGAACGACTAGAAGAACACATACATGCATGATCATTTCACTTGAGAATAATTGACTGAATGGAATGAATTTGTTGGTTAAAATTAAAACTTATATAAAGAAGAAAAGAAATAAAGAAGAACTCGATTAAAACAGAAAGAAAAAGATAAGAACATTGACTTTATGCTGTATTTTCAAGCATAAGTAATGTGAGTAAAACAGGTAAAACATGTTCATAATGTTCAATAGGTGTACCTTGTAATTTAATATGTGAATTACGTCGTAAATATTCATATAATGTAAGAAATTCAACAAGACCAAGTGTTTCTTCAAGATATTTACGTAAAACATTCATTTTTGATTGTCTTGATGATTTGGAATGTGCTGCAGAATAGAGTGCTGTGAATGTATCATGTGATGTTAATTTACGTTTGCTAGTCGTATTATTATTATTATTATTATTGTTGTTATTATTATTATTATTATTACTATTCGGTGATAATGATACGGATGTTGGTGTTTGAACAACTAATGCTGGTAAATCATCAACGGTAACAAGTGGACGTTGTGGATGATTTTGTGATTTTTGTTGAAGTGGAAGCATTGATGTTAAATGTTGATGATTGGAATTCGTACCATTATTCTAAACAGAAAAAATGAGACAGATTTTTGTTTTTCGTTCAATTAAATTTATCTTACCAATGCCGATGATGGCATAGGTAATAAAATTGATGGTGGTGTTGATTCTCGTTTGATCCTTTTGGCTAAATTAATAACAGTATTATTATTACTATGATTATGATTATTATGATTATTATTATGTGATGATAAATCAAGTAATTCTGAACAATTAGAATTTGATGTTGAGCTTGTTGATCGTTTATGATTATTTGATATTAATAATGATTGCTGTTCAGATATAGATAATGGTGACGTTGAATTAATTTTTGATCTATCATCCGTTGATGGTGATGATGAAGACGATGAATTATCTGAATTTATGATGGAAGCAATATTTGAAGTTGTAGTTGGAACTAATAAACCTTTTATTTTTCCTTTACGTAAACTCATACATGAAAATTTTCCATTAATACCAGCTTTTTGCATAGCTTGTTGTAATAATAAATCAAGTCGATGACGACCAGCACGTATTGTTTTATACCAAACGCGTTGATCAGCTGATGTACGTGGTACAAGATAAAATGGTGCATCTGCATTTGAACATTGTGGTGGACGATGATAGGATAAAAGACGTAAACCAACAACAGGACATTCATTCGGATGTGATGGTATTGCATAAGCACGTAAATTTGTTGTTGAAATTTCATTTGTTGTTGTTGTTGTTGTTGCTGCTGTTGAATCTTTATTTGTTGATGATATTTGTGGTGTTCGTTTATATTCAATATATTCATTTGATGTTGTTGAATCAGTTTTTATTTCTAAATCACCCCATAATAATGAACGATTTATTGTTGATTCATAACCACGTTGATCAAAATATTTTGAATTATTAATTAATAATTCAAGTAATAAACCATCTGGTGTATCACGTGTTATAATATTCATTTTACGTAATAATGTTTCATGATGAGATGTAAATGCTTCGACTTTAGAATTGCACACACTTTTATTTGGTTTTGCCCAAGTATCACGTTTTTCTTGTATAACTTCTCGACATGGAGCAAAAACAGGTGATTCAAGTATATTACATGGATATTTTCGAGATTTTAAATAACGTTCAATAGATAACATAAAACTTCTTAATGTATCAGGTTCATATTCCGTATTATCAGCTTTACGTACATTACCAAAATAATGTTTTAAATAAGTGCATAATTGTTCTGCTTTTAATTCATCAATTGGACAAGTTTCACCGAATGTATCTTCTAAATATAATGCAAAACGTCTTACTTCATGTTTTGTTTTACGTATTGTATTATATGAATTTGTTCCTGAACATATTAAAAAACGATTCGAATCAATACGTTGATTTGCTAAACGTGATAAACGTGCAGCAGCAGCTGCTGATGATATAGGTTTTGTTGATAATTGTTCATCTTTATTTATTTGAATTGATGATGTTGCAATGGATGAATGTGACATTATTTCTTCTTCACCACCACTTGAATTTGGTGATTCTTCATCGAGTTGTAATTCATGATCATTATCATCATCATCTTCTTCGTCATCTTCAAGATCATCAGTTGATACAAATGCTGCTGCGGTTGATGATGATGTTGTTGTCGTTGCTGTTGTTCCACTAGTCATTTCATCTGTATCAGTACCAAATAATTTAATCATTTGATGAAAATCAGCAAGAGATGTAGCGGCGGTAGCCATATTGTATATATATATGCATATACACCCTCAAATGAGTATTGTCTATTATTAAGAAAAAAAAGACGAAAAAAGAGATCTAGAAAAAAGAAATAGTTGTAAATAAGATGAACAAACATTGAACAATAAATGGAGGTCGAAGAGACATACGTAAAGCACACGATATCTTGAGCATACAAATGTGAGTATCGTTCTATGCATCCTGGTATTTACTAAATGAGCGACGGATGTGCGCACGAGTGTATAAAAGAGAGGGATAGAGAAAGAGAGAGAGCGAGAACGAATAGAGTAAAGAGATCTAAAATGACAAATTGCGTGATATAGACATGTGAATAAGGCTCATCCTTTGTCCCTTATCCTACGTCAATATACGAAAAAAGAAGAAGAAGAATATAGATAAAACCAAAAAACGAACATCTTTAATATACGAAAGAATGAATAATTTCTCTTTTTTTTCCTTCTCCATATAATAAGATATTATTGGTAACCTTTGGAATCAGTTTCTATTATACGAATATACATTCAGATAGTTGTTTAGTGCTTGATATTCTTGTTCTTCTCGTTTACTAGTCTTTCTCTCTTATCATTTTTTTTCTCCTACAAATACAAAATGACACACGCAAACATCATATTTTTTTTCTATTCTTTACGTACCATCTGCTTACTTTGTCGAGCATATGCGGCTGGTGCTGCATATTAAACGAAAATCAGTCGATATCCTATTTTTTCGTGATTTTTTTTGCTACTCTTCTTCTATCTCTCTCTCTCTTAACTATTCAACAGAATATAATGATAAATACATATGTTCATGTATCTGTATGTATGACATTTGCTGAATGATGATGAACACGAAAGACAAGACTAGTATAAATATGTCTATCAGACGATTTATCAAGTCTCATACTCATAAATATTGATTACGTTCATTTTTTTTATTTTACAGATCATCATGATTATCATCATCTTATACTACTCACCTCGTCTCTCTGTTTTATGCCTGTCCTATATATATGAATGCGAGTGTCAACTAGAGTTCACCACTAGCATACTCGAATGAGGATATATCTTCTTCTCTTCTTTTTTGCGTCCTCTGTCTCTGTCTTTGTCTCTCTCTCTCTGTCTTATTCCTTATTGATGTTGTTGGATTTATATATAGATAGATATATATATATATATGTCGCCCAGTTGACAAAAGAAGAAGCAGAAGAAAAAGATGAACACTTCTCGTCTCGCGCATATCTCTATATCCATCTCCCGTTGTTGTCGTTCACTTCTGTTCTCAATGGATGCTGCCTCATATTTCCTTGACGGTCGTCATCGTCTATCTTTTTTTGTGCCCGGGATATAGAGTTCAGGAAAAACATAAAAAAGAGAGAAAGAGAGACTACCCATTTCTTTCCTTATGTCTGTCTTCGTCTCGTATCTTAGAATAGTGAACACATACACACAGTTTTTTTCCTTGTTTCTCGTCGTATATCATCAGAACGAAC